AGAGAAGATGAGTGTCTGCAGTGCCACAAGGTCTACCTCATGGTGTGCTAACAAGCAGTATGTTATCAAGTTCTTGCAGGTACACATTTAAAAATTATTTTATTGTTGTAAAAATGCTATGGCCTTCTTAAAAAAATGCATCAGCACAGGTTGCCACTTTGGCTCTGCTGATTTATACATTCGGTGTCACGTGCACTTGGACAGGATAACTACACCTGTAAAAGATATACCCAGCAAACAGTTTATTCAGCTCAGCTTGAGACCAACAGAACACAGAAACAATTACCACGTGCTGTAGCTCAGGCCTGTTCTCCAATTCTTCAACAACTCTGTCAATCTGAAAGGAAACAAACAGCACCATCACATGTATAGAACTGAAAGAAGGCTGGGTATCAGAGGCAAGCACTGGACTGCCATGACATGAGCTTGTTATACTCACAGAAATTTTGTCTTCATTATCCAAAAGCATGTCTACTGCTTTCTGAAGTCAAGAAAGAGAAGCAAGTTAAGAAACAGGTACACACATTTTCTCACACTGTAGAGTACTATGCTTGTTTGGTGCTGGGTATCAGAGGGATATTGCAGACCTACTCTTTCCAGCAACAGTAACTCAGACTAGTCTGCACACCACCAGCACTCCCTGACAGCACAGCATTACAGAACACATCTTAGATTCTTCCAAAATACTTCTCTTAAGTTTCAACACTAGTAACAATCAATACTGTGCTCTTATACTGCAGGGGAAGTATGTCCATCAAAGTATGATCACAGAGAGTCACTGCTACATGTAGAAATATTACTCATGCCACTGCAAAGGGGAATTGCAGGGGGATGGCTGTGTAAGAAACACAACTCAACCTGCCTTACAACCGGATTCCTCCCAACTATCTGCATACTACAGATACTGGAAACACAAGCAGAGAAGACCATGTTAGCAGAGTGGCCACTGGGATTGCAGTTCTGCTTCCCCTTACAAGAACAAACTCTGCTTCACATTCAAAATAATACAAAACCACAGATTCCTCATATGATTTACTCTATTTAACAAAAAAGAATTACACTTTTTCTCCCATGTAGTTTAGAATGGGCATAACAAAGGTGTCATCTTCGTATTTTAGCTCCAGTGCTTAAAAAACTTACTGCACTGAAAAAAAAAAGCAGATCTACTTGGTTACCCAAAGATCATAATAAAAGTTGTTTGCTGAGGTTTTATAGACAGCTGGGAAGCAAGAAGACTGAATCCAGCACAAAATGCACACTTTTTGGTTTTCCAAATTTAGGTCAATAACCTTGCAAACTCTCAGAAGCAGATTGACTGCAGTCAAAGAGAAGTGGTAAGTACATTTAATACACACCTAACAATAAATTCCCTGTCTCCATTCTTTGGCTTATTAGTAGCATTATTTAATTGGAAATGCAGAAAAAATATCATGGTGAAAGTCCACTTGAGAATCACAACAACGATCTCAGATCTGACACTCTTCTCACCATGAGAGATAATCAAATGGATATATAAAGGGAAAAAACCCAATCATCCTTGGGTCAGTTATTTGGCAGTGTAGGCAAACACCTTCTTTACTTCAGAATGTATCCAGACACAGCAAACACACCCTCTGCCTCAACACTATCTTGAGCTCATTTATCTTTAACCTGTGAAAATATCTCCAGTGGAAAGTGAATACAAAATCATTAAGATCACCATACCTCTGAATCAAAATCCATGAGCAGAACAATTTTGTCTCGGATAGAACTGAAAAGATTGTGCTTGTGGATCAACTGGAAGACATCTTTGTGCCTCAGGGTTAGGTAAATTTCTAGGGCTCTGCCATAGCGTTGGTCGTAAGTGTACCTGAAAATAAACAATGTCATAGTACATGTGATCTTATATAGCTAAGTGTAGGAAAATCACCCAAGATGAAAAATAAAAATATTCTCTAGCATGTAAGGCTCGTTAGGATGCTGCTTGACTTGTTAAATATCTAAACAGTTGCTATGGATTCATTTTTGTAAAAAAGAAATAAAACAAGAGGCAACATTAATTTCAACTCCGTTTCTATCAGCCACTGAGTTTGTGTTCTGACCTGGGGTTCTCTGCATTCCCATTTTCCTGTTTTCAAACCACATTTTTGGAAACTAATTGGAATGCCCTTTAGAGCTCAAAAACATTCTCTTAAAACTTTGGGACAGACTGTAAAATAGCAATGGACAGTAGCTCTGCTTTCTTCAAAGCAGCACTGTGAGAAGAATGTAACATGGGAATCACGTGGAGAAAATCAACGAGCTTTATCCCTGTATGAAGTAGCCTAGAACCAGGTAAGTTGAGGCACAACTTACAGTTGCATATTTCCAGCCATGCAGCAAACCCAAATATACTACTTTTGAAATAGTGGTGAAAACCCCACCATTTTATTTTCCTGTGGGCAATTCTGAAATGCACCTTTCACAGAAGAGGTTTCCTCTGATGACATAAATAGGAATACGAGCTATTTGCTTTGGGAAGAAGAGAAGCAAACCCATTCTTATACTCAACTTGCTTTCCTCCTCAGTGGATACTTTACAAGGTACTTTACAAGGAAGGGAAAATAAATGCTAAGCTGTGCAGTCAGCAGAGAGAAGAGGAAGTCAACTCTGTGCAGAGTGCAGCAAAGCCAGTATTTCTGTTAAGAAAGTGAGGCAAATATTTATAGACCATAGTGCATGATTTCAAGCTTACTTTTTGTAAAAGGAGTTTAAAAATGTACTCACAATTCTGCAAGCGTTCGTAGCAAAGTCCTGTTCTGTGGATCTTTCTTCAGGTGATCCACTACAGCTTGAACTATGATTGTGTTGTTGTAGAGATCTCCAGGCCACTCTTTTATCAGGGTTGCAAACCCCTAAAAGTGTAAAAGATTATAACAGAAATAGAAAGAACTGCCTAAGGAACATTTGAAAACATCAAAGCTTCAGCTAAGCCTCTGAGATGGTACCTGCTGTGCTTCACCTCTAAGCCACTTTTACGTGCCCACAGACATGCACAGTGCAGAACACAGATTTTCCTTCTCAGGGCAACGTTATTAAGATTCATAAAGCAGAGTCTCTTTCAGGTGCTGTAGTCTTTGTGCAGCACCTCAACCATTTATGCTACATTAAACCAACTAAAAATAACAGTATTTATAATACAGACTCAATCTCACGGTAGCTGTGTGTTCTGAGGAACACTCTACCTATTCCCTTAAGAACAAAACCAAAATTCATATTTTTGATCTTTTCATTATTGTGGAACTGTCCACTGATAATCTGTTTGAATACAACAGAAAATTTGCTGTCAGAATTCTACACTGCTGAGGGTGTCTGGCTGCCCATAACTGTCACATGTGGACACGTCAGGCTGCAGTACCTCGTAGTCACTCTCCAAAAACTCATGCAGGACCATTTCATAGATCAGAGGTTTCAAAACCGGGTCCCGTCTGGGCAAGTAACGACTAATTGCCTGGAGGAACAAAGAGAACAAAGGGTCAGAAGGGGAATGGCATGTAACATTCTGGTGCACTGATGATAGGGGAAAATAAAAAAGAATTGTTGTGAAACAAAAAAGCCAAAGCTACGTACAAAACGTGGCTCTTGGTAAACACTGGAAGTGCTGCAAATTTGTATCTGTAAGCATGTTACAAATTTGTATCTGTAACCTGAAGTTATTTACTTTAGGATTACACACGTTGGAATTGTATTACTTATCTGAAAAAAATTTTCATGAGAAAGATAGGTGGTAAGATACTAGTTAAAATGAGAGAATCAACCACTGCACATAAAGAAATCTGAATATTTACTGCTAGTCACTGAGAAAATAAAATCCTTAAAAGGCCCCTCAAAACAAGAAAGTTCTCCAAGTCCACCTTGTCCAGCCTTGGTCTTGTATCTTGTGAAAAGGCATAAGCATTCACTAGCTGAAAAATATGTACTTTTGATTTATGACTTACTGTGATGTTTCTACATTTTATGAAGAGTTCTGTTTTGCCAGCTATTTTTACCCACCCTAATGAGAATTAATTTAAGAACACGTCTCTCCACGGAACGGGTGAAGGCGTGTGATCTGTTGCTCTACAGGAGGTGTTAAGGAACTGAATTCTGGCAGGCAGGAGACAAGAACCTGCCAGAATGAATCAGTTCATACCCTGGATTCCAGCACAGCATCTTATTAGCACTATTATTCCATGCAACTAGAGGCCAAGGTCATTGCTCTCTGCCAAAATAAACCCTACTGCTACCAGGTGTGTTGGGACTTTGGGGTTTGTAGCTGAAGGCCCCACACCGATGAAATTCTTCCAAACACTCAAAGGTGTTGCCTGTTGCCCACTAATGGCACAGGATGCAGTTGCCTTTTGTTACTGACGTCATTCAAATAAAGCAGGACAAAGAACATCTCATTACATCTTTTTTTTTTCAGTTTTACAGATAGCAAAGATTATTCACAATTAATTTTCCTAAAATTTAAATCAAAACAATTGGCTAAGTTAGATACTTCATTAAAGTCTTCCATCGGTAGGTGAAAAAAGAGGTAAAAATAAAAGACCAATAAAAAAAAGGCATTGTTAATGACTTTGCAAAAATTAAAAGTTCATTGCTCACAGGAGGCCTCTCCCCAAGCTGTTTGAGCTTAGGCAGTCTCTGAAACGTCGGGCACTGCCAACATCAGCTCCCACCATCTGTCACAGAATTTAACAGCTTGGTCCTGCATGGTCTTGCCAGCTGCCCTGGGGAATCGTATTCCTGACCCGCTCGTACAAAACCCATCTCCTGAGCATGCAGCAAGCAAGCTTGCCATCAGCTGGAGACCTGAGGGCAGAGGACGTTCTCCAGTGGCTGTTTTCACTCCTACTTTTGACCTTGCTGCCATTCCTGAAGGAAGAGCGCTGCCCGATGGGCTCTGCTGCACCTCTTGGCTGTGGTTTGCTCGCAGATGGAGCTGCAGGGTGGTGCAGGTGAGGCCAGGCTGCCTCAGGAAGGAAACCTCTCCTGCCCCAAATCCTTCTGCTCTGAAGGAAAAGCACAGCCCCCTCCTGAAGCTTGGCCCCCGTGCTCAGCAAAGACTGAGAAGCACCCGAGTTATTTTTAAGGCCAGGCACAAGAGTGAACTAAGACCCATGCCAGAGGTTATAAACTTCCCATTTTATTTTCAAGCAGTAGTTAAGGGGTGAGGTCACACAAAAAAAAGCTCCAGAATCAGGACAACTTTGCATCAATTCCTGAATTGGTGAAAGTGACTTGGAAGAGGATACTATAAAAGGAAATATTTTTCTTCTTTGTTTCCTCTTCAGTCCTGCTTCCAGACTTTTGAACAACAGGTATAAGGAGGGGTTATACACAAGAAAGCTCATGTAAAACTTGACATGAGGTAACCTAAACCATCTCACCAATAAGCCCAAACCACACTTATTCATTCCTCAGAGGATACATATGAGATGAAAGAGGTTGTCTGGATACTGCTGCTCTATGCTATGCCCACCACACAGGTCAAGTCTTCCATGTGTCCTCTAGCCAACATTTTAGTCATTGAAGCATTGCTGCTGCTAGCTGATCCTCCTGCACCCCTGCTGAAAGACTCTGCTGCCACAGCAGAGTCAAGAGAATGGAGCATATTCCTCATGTCACATCAGCCAGCACTCACAGAGTTTGGCAGCTTCCTTCAAATCCACCTTCCTCAGCTGTTTGAGCTGAGACATGGCATTTTCCACTGAAGGGGCTCAAGCACGAGCATGTAAATCCATCAAGCCACTGATGCTAGAGGAGAAGAGGAGCAGATCATTCTCAAGGCTCTAAAATCTTGAAACTGCCATAACAAGGTTTACTAGACAACATTCACTGAAGACACAAGAGACACTGAGATACCAAAACACAGCCTCTGGTCTGGTTTGTCCAGCCAAACAGGACCTTTCAGTGCAGAACAGTCAAAAACCCCACAAGCAAATAAACAAGACACCCCGCAGGCTTTGACACTGGGGTATCACTAATTAGTCCCTCTGCAGAAAGAAAAGTTTAAACCTTTACTTTTACTGCCACCTTAGTTATTGGCAAATCACGTTAGATTGGAAACATCAGATTTAAGCAACCACTTAAATGCAGCACAAATTCTTTAGAAAAATTCTCTTTCAAAATACACTTCAGTAAGAAGGTAAAAATTCCAAATAGCTTACGAGTGACCCCAAGCATTAAAGAACTGCTTCAACTTAGATCTGGCTTATCTTATCCATTATGACACTCAGATCTCTTTAGGAATCTGGGAAAAGTTACATGCAATTGAAATAGTAAAATAAAAATTACATCTTCTAGAACTGGTGAACCTGCTTCAACAGGGGGTCTGGACTAAATGATCTCCAGAGGTCCCTTCAGCCCCTACCATTCTGTGATTCTGTGAACTGCAGCTTCAAGCTGAATAATCTAATGGCCTGCATCTTATGTTTTTCTAAGTCCACTTTCAAGGTGCTGAAAACAACCAACTGTTTAGAAAGGCAGTAATTTAGCAGAGATGTTTTTGCAGCAAACCTGCAAATATTTTTATATTTTACAGTCTGCTGGATGACATAAGTGGAGACAAGAAAAACATACAGTCCAGACACTTGCATCTGAAAAACAAAATGAACGCAAAAGGACTAAGAAGCAGCGTATCAAAATTTCACCTGTACCTGCACTCAGGTCCTTTATTAGATTGAAATAAAGAGATAGAAACATGAGATTTCATCTTCCAAGGTGGCCAAGAGTGCACTGAACCACTAAGCACTCATACGAAAGGCAAGGCTGTTCTTGCACCGGAGTGGCTCTAAAACAAAAGCCAGACATTTCTGAAAACCAGAATGATGAAACACTTTAGCACTTTGAACAGAATTAAACAGCTCAAAACCAGCAAGAGACTGCACGTTGTGAGATCTTAATAATAGGTCCTTTTAGGCTCATTGAGTTTGAATAGGAAGACATAAAATTCAGAAATAAATGCACACGTGTTAGCAAAGGGAGTGTGCATAACATTTTCTACTGGTTTGGCAGTGACAGCACTAGAGCCTCGTGTCCTGGGCAATTTATTAACTGAGAATCTCACATTAAACATGTACCGTTAGGGTAGCTGGCTTGTGACCAGGGAAAACACAGGACAAGGCAGACTGCTCCTCTTTCCTGCCACCCTTTCTAGCACACAGCATCGGTGCTCCCTGTTGTTTTGCAGTTTAACTCTTCTTGGACACTTGAAGCTGTGGCTCTGTTGCAAGGGACTTTGGTTTTTCAGGGGAGGCTGGCACTCACAGAGGCCATGTTCCTTAGGAGTTTGGTAGAATTTTTCAGGACATAGTGGAAGGGAGTGAAAAGCAAATGGGAAAGAGGTATTGAACTGTGAGCATCTTTGCAAGTAAAGGCCTTGTACCCTCCTACCACACCAGGGCCATTCAATGTCATCAATGTCATCAGCCATCATCCAATGTCATCCTTTAGAGACTCGGCCGAGGCACGCAGGAAATACCAGCATGCCAACTCCTTGAGTGCAGAGACAGAAATGCATTTACCTTAAGCTGACCTATTTCTTTAAACTTGTAAACTTCAAATTCCCAGAGTTCTGTGTTTTTGCCAAGAATTTTCTGGCACTTTCTGGAAGAGAAATCAAAGAGAGAACAAAAGTAAGTACATAGATTAATACAAATGTGACAGCATTACTGCAAGGATTCCTTTCTTCTTCCTCCTCCCTATCAAGACACTTTCAAAGGTGACTCATTTTGGCAACTGTTGGTTCAAACAGTGTGCCAGGTACTCCTCCTTTGAGATCTTACAACTTTGTTGCATCAAAGAGGACTTAACTGCTTAGTATGAATTCATCCTTACTGATGAGGGCCAATTAGCTTTATGAGTTAAGTTTTTAAATCTCAGCTGAGAAAAACTGAGCACTTAAAAAGTATGCTTACCCTTAAACATGCATCCTTATTTTAGATACCCATATTTGACATTTTTTATACCCACATAACCACAAATTATTTTCTAATGCTCTTACATGTAATGACACAATAATGATTATCAAAATCCAAACCTCAGTTTTGAAAAAAATCTAATGTGACTTTGAAAAATCAAGGCTGACTTTCAAAAATATGTATATGTCAATTCTAGTTAAACTTCAGAAAGTTTACAGTAACTTTTGAATCACTACAGGCAAGAAAACACAGGGCACAGTACTACATCTATATGTTTTGAAACTTCAGAGAACACACAGAAAATCAACATCACAAAATACTTTAGAACCAATCATTTGCTTTTTCTTCTCCCTCTTCCACCTCCCACACCCTCCCACCCCAGACACACTTTAGCCAGCCAAGAAAATCTTTAATAAGAAGTTACCGAGCAGCCAGGTCATACTCTCCTTTCTCCACAAGATGATTTATATAGGCTAAGCCAATGTCCTAAGTGAAACAAAAATGAAGAATTAGTTATAAAAGTTTGGTAGTCAGTTACTTATCTGCCACAATAACTATCATTCCAGCTGTACGAAGCACCAGGCCCTACGTAGATACTCCAAGTTCTCTTCTAGATGCAGAGCCCAGAGAGCAGTCAATCAAAAATACCTGCATAGACCATTCATGGGTTCAAATTAAGATCCTTCTTTAAATAATTCTCATAACACCACTGATGCTGAGAAGACTGTGCCACCAAGATTAAAGACTGTTCAAAAGGCATCCACTGATCATTCAGTGCTTGCACTAGTTATCTTGATAAGGAAATTATCAGCCACTGTATGTGACACTTTCTTCATCAACATGAAGTTTGCAGGTGGGGAAAATGTTGGTTGAGAAAATAAATCCCATTACTGCTCCATAAAGTAAACAAATTACCAAGAATTTAATAAGATTACTATGTATTATTATATACTAAATTCCCCTTCTCAAGAGTTTACCACACAGGTCAGCTACAAAATCTTTGTGATAGGCATTTAGTGTATTAAAATTTTGGCAAAACATCCGTGCTTTCTGTTGCAATCTCAACACTGCTGTCAAGGCCAATAGAGCCTGGCATACCCGCTACATAGATTGAGAATCACACCACTGAAAGCACATTGTCTCCAGAAAAAGGGAAAAAAAAAAAAAGAGAGAGCTGTACAACAAAAAAGAAGACTTTGTTTCCCATAAAATAAACATGAGTCAGCTGAGGCACAAGATAATTTATTTATTTTTTTTTTTTTTTACTCGATATCAAGGACAGTAGTGAGTGGAGCAGAATATCAACAGAGGTATCCAAATCACACCACTGAAAGCACTTTGTCTCCAGAAAAAGGGAAAAAAAAAAAAGAGAGAGCTGTACAACAAAAAAGAAGACTTTGTTTCCCATAAAATAAACATGAGTCAGCTGAGGCACAAGATAATTTATTTATTTATTTATTTACTCGATATCAAGGACAGTAGTGAGTGGAGCAGAATATCAACAGAGGTATCCAAATAACTTCAATTGGTCAACTTACTACAAGCTTCTAAAGAAAACCTCAACCATGCACAAACACCAGATTTTAGAATTTCATTCTACTGTAGGAACCACCTTTGTATTTTCAACTTCTTTCTCAAGAATGAAGATTTCTGGCAGCCTCTTTCTCTTGTTAGCCAGCTCGCCGACATAAGGAAAGGAGCTGTAGTTCTGTGGTTGTTTAGGACCCTTGCATTCTATTCAAGAGGTGCAGGGGTCATTACAGCAACCTAAAAAATCCCCAACACCATCAGAATTGTCAGGTGGTGTGAGTGTGGTGTCATTGGTCTGATTGATGCTGGGCAGTGAGAATATGTGTTTTTTTAAATCCCTGTACCACTAATCCTTCACTTAGGGCTTGATGTCAACATGATTTCTGCAAGCACGTTCCATGGGTTTTGCATTAGAGACCAAACACTCAGCAACTCTGCTTGTATATACCCACACTGAATTTCATCCTAGTGGAAGCAAATTCCTGCAAACCAAGAGAAAACTCAACTTTCCTTCCCTTTCTTTTTTTCCTCTTGCCAGGACCTACTTCAAGAATTCTCTACATCTTTTGCAAGGGTCACAGAGTATCCAAATCAACAAACTTGACTCAACCTCTGGACCACACAATAAGAAAATAATTTTTAAGACATACTGATAAACAGTGTGCAGTACTATAGCATTAATCTGTCTAAAAATTAAACACATCTTCTAACATTTTGTACTTAAATTCAACCCCCCATTTAAAGAAGCAGCAGTATTAATGAAATACTCATGTGTTCATGTTGAGGTCAAGTTAAATAAAAGCAATAAAAAAAGAGCTTTTGTGGCTATTACATTATCCCAACCCTTTTCTCTTAATCTTTTTGTCTTAAACTATCTGCTCTGTGAAGGGACTACAGAAACTGGAAATAAGTATATAGGAGGAAAGGAGCTTAACTATGTAAAATAATGACAATTGCAAAGCAACATGAGAGAGAGGTGAAACTGCAACTGAATTTCAATAGAATTTGAAAGGTCTTCCAATTGCACCATTTAAGGTCCTGCCAAAACCCTGCCACATGTAGAAGTTCAAGAGGAATGTGTCACCCCACCTCCCAGTCTCTAATATTGCAATACTGTGTGTTACTTGGAACAACAGCACATTTAATACAAAAGTAAAAGGAAAGAAAAACTCCATCAGCAATCAATGGAATTCCCTTCTTTTTAATGTCAACAGCACCTTCATAAAACTCAGATCCCTTTGTGTTTCACATACTGACTTGCCTCTTCTGCAGCTGAAAACAAGAAATCAAATGCTAGCTGCAGTACACCTAACAGCTATTGTCTGGTGGAATACAGAACCAGGAATGTATTTGAAGCACCTTGCAGCATTCCAAAAGAAATCAGCTATTTTGTTGTGAACAGAATTTTTGAGACTTACCAAAATCTTGTGCTTTTTTATGGTTTTCTGACTGATCTCAGCTGCCATCAAAGCTTCCTATATTCAAAAAGTAGAAAACAGAGAAACTAGCCAAATACACAAACTTACAATACAGAAAGCTCTAGAACTGCATAAATCAACCATTTTTTTCAGAGTGGGGTGTTTGAAGCACTAGAATTTTTAATGCCATGGTTGGATGAACAGCTTTGAATTCACACTCAAACAAAAGCAGTCAACCAAAGAGAAAACTACTTTTGTTTCCATCTGGGTTCACTCCCCATTATTATATTAGGATCAAATCATAAGATTACAACAAAACAGACAATTCAATCACATTGCATCATTTTCAAATGAGGATCCTTCACTACCAAAACCTGTGACAAAAATGATCAGGAAAGGGAGTGGAAGAAGGCTCCCTTGTACCTCCCCAGCCCCAAAGTCTATTCCAGTCAGACTGGTTTATATTTAAGTGTCATTTGCCATTCTTCTACTCTTTTTTTTTTTTCAAGTGTACAAGAACAAAGCTGGCACTTTTACAAACAAAAATGAAACCTTTAACATACATCATAACACACAAGCTATCTACTACCCTGAATGGCTTTCCTAAAGGCACACTCACAGATGTCACTTGCAAATTACTGGAGTCTTCAGGGACCAAATGCCATGATTTACATAAACTGCAAAACTGCACTCATCATATGAGTTTGCTATTCAGATGCAAAAGCATCCACAAGGATTTAAACAAATCTGCATGAGGAATATCATGATTGCATTAACAAAAGGAATACGTGCTCCATGGCTCCCTCACATGTTTTTTCCCCCCTTATAAGGGGCATGAAACAAATAACACATGAATAAGAATTTTTAAGTTACTTTATGCATCATAACAAGTATTCTAAGTCATTAACTGCAAGACATCAAAGTCCAGAACACTGGGTGTGTGTTGATTTTGTCTGTAAGAATTTATTATTGCTGTTTTAGGTGTTTACATATACATGCTTAAACACACCAATATTTACACAACCAAGGACCGAGCTGCTTTTTTTCCAAGGAAGCTGTATACCATTGTTTTTTAATATTGGCTCTGCTTTTTTGTGAGTAACACCACTTTCAGCACCAATATCTACAGTTTGAACCCACATTATTTTAGTTTTAAAGCCCACATTATTTTAGTTTTAAAGCCCATATTATATTACTTTTAAAAGCTTCAACACCAAAGGTAAGTAATGTGGAGCAATGCACAATACCCTAAACAGCCTTTCTGTTCTATAGTGGAAACAGTACACAATGGGTAAAATCTAATACCACCTACCAAGTCCATTGCCCTTCCCTCTTTAGTTGGGACAGATCTAGAAAAATATCCACATAGCTCATTAGTTAACTGTTCTGCTGCTTTAAAGTCAAAACTCAGCTTTAGTAATTTCCAGTGACAGCCAATACATTTCCTATCTGATGCCAAGAGCAGTATTCACAGCATCTAATTCAGCTGCTTCACTTGGGTGCAATTCAGATGAGTTGTTTCAGCGGGAAGACTAACTCTCCAGAGAGATGGAGAGATGCAGAGCCAACTCCTACCCTTTACAACTGTTTAGTTAATGACTGTAGGAACACAAGCTACCCAGTCCAAATGACCTAGCGAAGTTCATCATCCCACTGCAATCTCCAAACCAGAAAAGCCTAAAGGAAAGAGGGTAAAAATTACTTCATATTTCTTCTTCTCAAGAAGCCAGTCGATGTGGTCATCTTGGTCCCGCTCTTTGGCCACCACCACATCTCTTGGGCTGATGATATAGAAAAGCGATTCACCCTCCGAATACTCTGCAAATGCATGCACAGGATTTTTAGTATTATATTTCCCTTAAGTAGAGCCCTGCTTTTTAGTACACCCTTGAGGGGAATTTCAAAAGAGGAGATGCAAGGAAGACAGCAAGGCTACTCCTGCAGAACTTGCTTGTTTGGGAAGTTATATTCCCCAATAAATTAAAACTGGTTTAAATGGCAAAATATCTTTAAAAAAAAAAAAATCACTACAGCTTATTGCAAATTCTGATTCATTCACTATGTGTAAACTTTATGATGGTTTAGAACACATTATTATACTTTTAGAGGACTATTACACTACATAGCCTGCAATAAACTTCTCCTCCCCATCAAGGTCAAGGCCATCAAAAGCATAAATGATAGACGCCATAACCCCTGGGGACACAGCACATCATTACAGCAATGCATTCTCAATGCTATAAGTTAAAGTTATATGTATTATGCATTTCCTTATACCATAAGCCTTTATTTTTGAGTAAGCTCGAAGTAAAAAATGTACTCACAGTTAAAAATCAAGCACAGAAGATGACTGTTCAGAATAGTTATTATTTCCACAGAACCCATGAAGAAACACCATCAATATTTTGTAGGTACAAAAAACAACCCCCCAGGTTGGAAAGAAAACAACCCCCCATCCTTTATCTGTATATGCATGCAAACACACTCCTGAACTAATAATTCACAAAATAATGCCTGTCTTAAAGCCATGTCAAAAATTTAGACTTGTCAGGTTAACTAGAATATTCATCAAGTGTAGAAGTACAACTGTGGATATCAGTGTTCTGCTTAGGGACAGGTATAAAGAAATCCCAACTCTATTGATAGCAGCAGAGATGTTTGGAGATTAGGAGGAGATATGCTACATTTCTTGTGGCTTAAGGGCATTCATGTACACAGATGCCTGCCAAGCCTATGATTTGACACATGCTGCCAGAGAAGATGTTTAAAAATCAGATTCATGGATTTTAAAAGCCAGAAGGAATGTTTCTGTATAACACAGGCTACATAATCTTCACCAAGGAATTCTGCAACAGCTTTGTCATGCATCTTCCTGAACTACAACACATATATCAGAAAACTATCCTATCTTATTTAAAAGACTCTGGTGCATACTGTGCCAGAGCTTTATCTCCCTGCCTCTTACAGAACTAAACCCATCTTCTAGGCTCAACTTGCCAAACTCCAGTTTCTATTTGTTACCAATCTGGGGTCTGTTACACACTGACAGCTTTGTTGGTACAGGGAAGATAAACATCAGTGTGCCCCTTTTAAGTTGATTCAGTTGCATCTTGCTGTTGAAACTACAGTTATTCCATCTTTGTCTCCAAAGCAACTTTTCCAGACACTGCACCACTCATTTCACTGTTCCTGAAGTCCTTTTGTGCCCAAAGAGACACAAGAGCTACTATGGATCATGTGCTGAATACATCTCCATCAAAGATACTGCCTTCCACAATAGTGGACACTGCATGAGATCTGTGTTTCTGTCCTCCCCAGTATGTCTGACTTAATAGATGGCATTATAAATCACAATGCTTAAATATGTGCATTTGTCTTCTTTCAGATGGTTGGTTCTTGTGGATCACCACTTTACACTTCAGTAGCATAAGCAGGTACAGACAGCTATTCAAGATGATGACATAAAAAGGAAAAAGGAAGCCAGGTCTCTCAAATCAAGGTTTTTTTTTTTCGAACTGAGTTATGAAAAGGAAACAAAATATTAAGAACACATACCTAAATGATAATCTCTACACTCATTTTCCTGAAATCCTCGTACTGTTAGTGCATCAGAAGAGATCTCTTCACAGGACTCAGGTAGGGGCTGCACAATATCCAGCCTAGGCCTTGCACAACACTCCACCTCCTAGGAAAACACCAATATCTTAGTTGCATCCTACATGGTTTACCTTAGCAATGTCAAATGATGGTCATCTACAAACAAGGCTGCAATTCAACAGCTACAGACATTCCCAAAGGTCCAGTACTTTGCACTGGGCACTGAGCTCCAAACCATACAAGTTGCTAAGTTTTGCTTCACAGAGTAGCTGTAATCTCTCCTGAAACACAACGGGAAGTTATTCATACTCTGGGCTTACTTCCCTTGAACAGATCACTGCAGAGAAGGAGGTTTAGACAAGATAGAGGTCTAACTAAATCCTCCCCTGAGTTTATTCACTATTTTTCTGCTCATGGTCATGGAAGTTTTCAGGGCTATCACAGATTATCATCAACCATTGCATTCCTATGTTCTGTTACCATTATATCATCTGAAATACTCTTTTGATCTGTCCTTCCTGAACCAGTTAGAATGAGCTTGACCTTTATCAGTCACCATCTCCTTTACAGTAGCTCTTTACCCATGCCACTTCTTCATTAACAGTGGCTTCCCAATTTCCTTGCTCCCTAGCATTTCAGGATTACCTAGCATTACCTTTCCCCCCCCTTTCTTATCCCATTTGTTTGCCTCTTCTTTCACAGGTTGCCCTGTACTAGAGGACTACTGTACTGACTCTCTTGGGAAACACTGCTCTGACATTATTTTTCTCCTTCATATAAATAAAGAAATAATAATCTGACATCCTGCAGCAGAGCTAGAAGCTAACCCTATTGATTTCAGCAGGCTCAAGCATTTGTTTGAACCTACAGCATTTCATTGCCTAGCAACTTGTGCACCCAGTTGCTCAAGGTTACTATGGTGATGGTTGTCTAACGCAGACATACTATCAAAGCCATGATCAAGAGCATCTGCCATTCTCACACTGCAACTTCAAGGATTTCCTCCACTGCCTCACTTTTCATTTGGCAATATGAAATAAATGTTGGAGACAGACACGGCACTCACCCATGTGCAGTAAAAATGGCTGAAATGAATTCTAATTTCTACCTGTCTACACATGTATCTAGGTGTACACAACTAAAGGTCTTGGAAGCAAGGGAGATTATGCCACTCACTTGTAATCATGCATCCCACCCTGGCACAATCATTCTTATTGCTGGAGTTCATCAACTGTACTACTCTCATTTCTTCTAAGATACAGCAAGGCCCTCTTATGGCTAAAAAAACTCTTAATTTCTTCTGGTGCAGATATAGAAAGAGAAACTGAGAGAAAATGAGAGAGGGGAGAAAAGGAAGGGAAAAAGAGAAAGGACTATCTAGAGACCTTCTCTGCCTTCTGCAAGAAATAAAGGAACCCTGACAGAACTTCTCAAAGATATTGATCTTCAACACCACCTCCACTGGTTGGCTTCTAAAGGTCAGAGAAGTTTCAAGCACTGTTCCCTACCAGTGAACTACTAATTTTTCCACAGATAATCAGACCTGCATGACTAGCTTACAGCCCAAATCACAGGGCAGTTTACTGCTGTGAAGAAACATAAAACCAGTTACCGTTTTTTCAGAAATCTCCTTTACGTATGAGAGTATAACCAGCTGGTCACAGAGAGGGGCAAGTCCACTGATGTAGAACTCAGTGTCAAACTGGAAAACTGAAATACAGGAAAGACAGCAGACTGTTAAATGGATGTGTATGAACCAACTCCCAAAGATAAACACACAACTGATTTTCTGTGCCAATCAACAGTATATAGTAGCACTTAAGAGAAATTTAAGATTTAACACATAAAAAACCCCTACAGACTTCCCAGTTGGATCAGCAAGATGAAAAATTAAACTTAACAGAAAAAGATTCATTAAAGCTTGCAAAAAGAAATGTTTGTGCTCTAAGACATGCTAAAGACAAAACATTTGAGATCAATAGCCTGATTTTCAGTAATCATATTGAAAAAAAGGAAGCAAAAGCAAAACCAAACTCAGTAAAATAGGCAATATATGAACAACTTCACTGGTTTGCATATTCACAGCAAGTTCATGTGGCCATAAGAGAATCACACCTGCTACATCTATTGGTATGATAGATGAAAACACAAAGGTCATTATTTATTTATCATCATTTTAAACATCACAGGAAGATTTACAGACACCCTCATTACCAAGAAAACGTCCAGTTCAATAGTCCCTTTCATAAAATTGAAAAGAAATTGTTCATAAAACTGAAAATGTAATTTCCCCAAATTTGGTCTTGAAATAGAGACAGTTACATGATGACTATTTTGAGAAAGAGAGAGCTAAACTGTATTTACAAAAAGGCTCATTAAACGCAGACTTCTGCCACAGAAACAGAGATTTAGTTTTTTTCTGCTGGATTTGTAGTGCAGCTCTGCTCTCATGGGACCCAAAAGAGGAATCCAAGTGCTTCTATTAGGAAAAACTTAGACCTATAAGCTTTTATAAAAATCAGATGCATCATCGTTTTCCCCCAAAACATGGTTTTAGGAGAACTGAAGTGCAAATAGAAAAAAACATTTCCTTGCTTACTGCTTAGCATGCTATGTTACTAATATCTACTGTTTACTAAAATAGTTACTAATTATTTTAGCAAAGCAAACAAAAAGCAGCATCATGACATTAAAAATAAAGCTAATTTTCTTTAGCTAGGGTAATGAGAAGTAACAGTAAAACTAATCACCTTACTGTTAAAGGAGAAAAAAATACTGTCAAATGAAGTACAGATTTGACATCCGTCTCTCAATGAATAAGCAAATCCTGGTTTTCTCTTAATGACTGCTGACACTTTGACATCACTGGGGGGGCAAAGGGTAGGGAACTCAGTCTCTTCTAGGAGAGAATCATTTCACATTTGTAATCCTGTACAGAGTTATCTTGTTCTAGCTTGCAAGACTGATGAGATTACTCTGACTGTGTCACACGCTAAGTGACGATTTTAAACAAGCCAGGTCAGGAACATCTACATAATGTATCTTATTCCCAGTTAAGTATTTGGTATTTTAAAAGAATATGAAAGGTGGTAGGACAAATATGGAAAATAAAAAACAAAGTCAAATCTGTAATGCTGGCTAGAAAGAACAAGTAAAGAAACTTTCAGCCTTCAAAAGTGACAAGAGAAGGCTCTCAAAGGCATGTAAAATATTGTGGTTTGAATTTTCAGAGGAAAACAGCATGGTGAAGGGGAGATTTGTAAAGATTATGGAGACAGTTAAAACAAATCATGTGTGTTTCACTGGAACTTTAGTTCCCTTGCAAGTGAAAATGTAAAATCCTCATCATGGTGTATTTAGGATCATACAGAAGGACTGTTCTGGAGACAAAAATGAACAAACAAATGAAACCCATCACTTCAACTTTTGTTTTTAAATAAGAGTTTAGTTTCCTTGGTTTCACTTTCAGCTTTCTCTTAGCTCATCCTCGAGAGGCCTTGTTGAAAAACAATGCTCTAGCTCTGCTGCTACAGCCTTGAACAAAGAATAGCTGGCATATACAGTGCTTCTTGACCTGTTAAAAACCTTTGATGCAGCTAATCAAAGAAGTCTTCCTGAAAAAAATTACAGAAGTTACAGCTGCACAGAATACTAATAGGTTAACATGACTTACTCTCTGGACACTTTGATGTGATCAAAAAAAAAAAAAAAAACCACAAACCAACATGGAGGCATTGCAGAAATGCTGCTAATTTGAAAAGGATCCAAAACAATGAAAACAAACGCAGCGCTGAAGCGAGTGGGAACGAGCAGGGGATCGCCACGTGTCACACATGTTTATGCCTGGCAGAAGAGAAGATGGGAGATATGCTGACAGTGGACCTACTCTACCTTCAGCATCTATGTACAGCTGTCAAACAAATTACCAGGAAGCAAAGAGAAGAAATCTGTAAATCTTTTTTTTTGTTGTTGTTCATTCAATGAAATGTACAAAACACACCACACTACAGAAACAAACCACCATATTCTACATTATTTACCCAAATTCTGTAAAGCAACTTCCTCTGGAATTAAAAGAACCACACATGTGGTGAGCTGAAACTAAAATAAATCTATTTTGTTTAATGCAATCTCAAAAAAAGCAGCCCCTGCTTTTCCACTGCAGATTTACAGTGAAATTCTGGTTACAGTCAGAGGTTGCAGGGCCAAGGTTTCAACATTGTAAAAATGTTGAAAGTAAGCAGAGAGCTGAACTAGCATGCAGAGATTTCACATGGAACTTAACATGTGGAGAAAAAGGACATTTGACTTTTGTTGTTGTATGGCTTTTTTTTAAAATTGCATATGAAATATGAAAGAAATGGAAAAAGCCAACAACAAGCCAATTTTTAGGTAGCCTAACCATGTATCAAGAGCAGCAGTCACTCAGCACTGTGGCCTAGCTTACCAAGAGCTCTGGTGAGCTGACATGCATTCCCAAATTACCTTTTAACCAGCTACTTCAGGCACATCTGCAAAATTTGCTGTCTTTACTGTAGGCCACAGTAGAGAATACCCTCAAGAGTTTTCAGGATGGTATCTCCACCACCAGTGGTTTTCTGAGCTAGGCTACTTATTCAAAACAAAGCTTAATAGAAAATGGCATGTTCTGATTAACTGTGATCATGTGCATGCAGTTGCATTTGATTAAAAATATAAAAAAAACTTTTTTTTCACAGTATGTCCACTCAGTTCCAAGTAGAGGACCAGAAAAGGTCCCATGTATCACTTAAGCCATCTTTAGATGCATAGAAGTAAACCACAAAGCATAAACATATACACATGGTATATTTTTACTGAAATAAAAGAACATTCTTACTTTCAGGTGTATTATCCAACAAAACCCTTGAAGAAAATACAAATCTCACATTTTTTTAACATCCTATTTTTATCTGAAAATCTTCATATATGACACTTACTGCAGAGTTTAAGTATTTCCTTAGAAAGTCTTTCTATCTCCCATAAGTCTCCACAGCAGCTGTCATATATTCAGATTTCCAGGGCAGACCTACTTGTGACTAGCTGAATGGAAAGCTTAGGATGTGCCCTGTTAAAGAGATGTCAATTTTGACTCAAAGGAACTGTAAATTTCTGGGCAGAAGCAGTGAAGTAACCCACATGAAGGTCTTTTATTTGGGTTTGAATATCCTTAGAACTCCCTTCAAATTTTCTACTTGCAGCACTGTATGTGAAATCAGCTTTTTACTTAATCACATTCAAATTGCAACAGCATTTCAGTAGACTATCCTTCTCCTTCAATGTAGTAGGATATGGCTAAAATTGCTGTGGGGTCCTACTTAGCAAAACCTGATGCTTTCAAACTTTTAAGTCCCATCCTCTACTATTTATTTATAATCAACACAGTTGGAAAAGTCAATTTTTTTTTTTTGTTCGAGTGTATAAGGATCAAAAAAATCTTTAGAGAAAATCTATCATTAATCAATCATTTCATATACAACTTTGCCACATGCCAAAGAGTATGAGCATTTTCATTAAAACAAAGCAGGGTAATGAAAATGATACTGTGAATTGAGTACTATCACTGAATAAAACCAAAACCAACACCTAGGCTTAATATCAAAACTCTGTAAAGCCTCTAACACCAAAAGCTGTTGTCTTTGTACTTGCTACCAGCACAGAATGGAAATGAGCAAAAATTATGCTACTAAACCAAACCCTTTCTCTCAGTTATAGTATCCCACTAATAAGAAACATCAGGAAAAAAGCCCATTACCTCATCATGCCAGCAATCATCCATCTGGTGAGGTCCACTCTTTCAATTAAACTAGATAACTGTTTTGTCTGCTCTTAAACCAGCAAATTGTAACACTGATTACCTGTGTGTGTACAAGAAGTGCTACCATGCTGCTGAAATCCCTATTTCATCTCATGAAAGAATAAAAATCATCTTTAGAACTATGGCAATTGCCCATACAACTCTCTAGCTATAGACACACACAACCTTTAAGGAAATCCCATGGAATCCTTGAAGACAACTGGAAAGACAGGAGCTTAAGTTTCCAAGTTTCCAAGCTGATTTTCGGAAAAACTTTTTTTCATGACACATTGAACTGAAAAAATTTCATTAACCAGCAGGGAAAAATATTCAAGAGTCTGCTAGTCCTGACTAATTTTATCAAAAAATGTATAAATTAACTAAGTGGAATAGCTATAAATGGGTTGGGTTATCTTCTTTTTCTGCCTGGCAATTTGTTTCTTGAGTGTAGCAGACTTGCTTCAATGAAACATTTCCATAAATCAGAATATACAGCAGATGACATTTAGTCACAGATAATTCCTGCTCATCACATTCATTAATTAAGCTTTAAGATCCCTCTGTAAAAACAGTAAAACTCTGTTATGGTAGATCCCAGTATCTCACATTACAAACAAAAATAAATATTCCTGTGCTCTCTTTTCAGATGCACATGTGCAGTCTCAACACCTGGTGGTAACCTGCCATGCAGTTACAGCTGTTTTACCAGTAACTATTTTTATAGTTACACAGCTATTCCCTCACAAAAGACACAGATGAGCTGTTACAGTCATATCCACAAAAATGTAATTTTTAAACCAGAACTGCAGGGAATTTGGGGGACTAGAGAGAGGAGAGATGCTCAAGTGGCATTGCTGGCTGGTTGGCATCTGGAATTAAGCTGAGAGTTGTCAGACAAAATTTGGACTACAATAAATTGAATAGGAGGTCTCTTAATTGATTTCAAGTCTTTTACTGATTAATCTCTATTTTCCACTACCATTAACATCCTGAGTGAGGCAGAAATAAAGTACTTCTCCATAAAATCATATCAAATCCTGAGCCCCTTGGTAAGGTCATCAAAGACTAGATGCACTGTTTCACTTTGCAAAGGCATCGTATTAATTGCAAAGTACTAATTAGTTCTTTAGCAACCAGCCTTCTCACAGGCTGCAGTTGAGGCAGGGCTCCTTCTTCAGACCAGAAGTTGTTCAGCTTTTGTACATGCACCAGGAGCGAGCCCAGAGGTCAAGCACTCTTTAAGAAGGATCACAATGGCATTTAGTCCATGTTAAGCCTGTAATTCAATACCAATACTTTCTAATCAATACACCACTTCACAGCGGTAGCTGACAGAGCTAAACTGATAGGATCTGCTCAGCTAACATACATTTAAACCTAAATAGAAACATTTCATTGGAGTTTATCTTCAACACTGAATGAAGACCCACAGAGGCAACGAACTGTAACATACAACCAGAGACAACAGAAAAGATTACTGAAGAAAAGCACCATTAATACACTGAAAGGTGTAGGTAACATTAGCAATGCCACACAGATCTCAGTGCATGGGAGCTCTATAATTCATTAAATTTCTCTTGCAGCCAATGGTAGCATGATCTTTTTGAAAATAAAACCACTAGAACAGTTCAGTGGTGTTTCTTTCCCACGTTATGGGCCACTTGGTTTAGCATCATGGTAGACACTGTATATATATCCTGCCTCAGAGTAAGCACAGGTATGTGTCAAGATGCCCAGAAGATGAGGAGGACATTGTTACACAGGACCCTATGGACCTAACTTACAATGGAGGAAATGTTCTGTTCCTCTGCTTCTGGGCTGCAAAACATTGAAGAAACGTTCATGCTCAGTGAATGCCAACAGAATTTACTGTGATACTGTTGTGGAACTCTGAGGCCCTCAAAACAGCTCTAAAAGAGCATAAATCTCCAACTGATGAAACATCAGAATACACTGTATTATCACAGACTTCATATGTATTACCCTGGCAAGCAGAGAAGTGACTATGAAGTCTCCTACTCTATTTTTCTTTCTCATTCCAGGTGCAAAATTGTAGAGGCAGGGGGGGTAAAACCCCCCAAATCCCCACCACTACACATGGCAAAAGTTATACTGTGTCATGGGTTTCACTTTTCATAAGTATGTTGTCAAAACACCTGAAGGACATTAATCTGTCCTGCCACTGAAGGATATTCATGCCTTGTGTAGGTTCTTCACATTATGAAAGAGTATCAGCTTGTACATCCACTTAAGATATTAATGGTATTGCAAAAAACCTACACGGGCTGCTGGTCTGCCCATTCCTAAAATCAGACCTTCCAGCTATGTCTTTGAAAAATAAAGTTGAAATACAATTGAAATAGCTGCTATGGCATGACAGACAGCTCTTAAGAAGACCACCTGTGTGACTACATCCAGAGCAGCAGTCAGTTATATTGAGACCTGAACAAATAATGTCTTTCTTTCCCCTCCCAACCTAATACCCATGATCCAATGAGTGCTGCTGACAGCATTTGGTAGAGCTGTTTTGGTGCTTTGACCTGAAATCAGAAAGAGAAAGCTCAAGCACGTCATTAACAGGTTAAGCAAACAACACCAGTCCTCCAGTGTACAGAGATTTTAGGCTAAGAATTGTAAGCGGAAAAAGTTACTTCCACAAAAATCCCTAACTTTAAAGTCTGCACCTAAATACTCTGAAGACAGCTTTTTCTTTTTTAATTAAATGAAGTTCCAATAGACAGCCACATAAGACTAGCTTCCTCCACAGAGAAACATTCTAGCCGAAGTAGAAGTTGCCTCTGTTCACTCATCACCCTGTAAGCAATCCCTTTTGATTATTTTCTAAAAGCTACTCCCAGGTACATAAAAGATTTATATAATAGTTTTATATTTTATATTATTTTAAAGATCTGAGGCTCCAACTCAAGACTGAACTTCCCCTTGTCAGAATTCTCTTCAATATTCTAGAGTTCCAGAGTTAATTAGTTGGTTTGGACTCTGGAATCTCAAGCAACAAATGGCTCTCAGGTCTCAGCTGTCAGGCATGTCACTGTCCCTCTATATCCACAGCTCCTGCAGAGTTTAGCAAGTCTCCCTGTTGAATTCATAAGCTGTTTTAAAACTGTTCTTTCCTGAAATCAGAGAGCAGAGTATACACCTATGCCATGCACCACTCTAATCTGACATGAGTCAGGATGTTGCCTGAACACTCTTGTCTACAATCTCACCTCATGTCCTTACAGTCAAGACAAGGAAGCACTGAAGTCTACAATCTGTTCTCTGTTCTGGTCTGCTGAGTCTCAGCAGGCCTGCTTATCTTCCCAGCACTACCTCTTCATAAATATTCCTTTCCCCAGAAGAAGACTTTCTCTCAATCCTCCACAACTGAAGACAGTTGTGACTTTATGTTTACACTCTTTATTCCCCTCCAAAGTCTCTTTGAATTTCATTCTACACTTAATACACATTTTGTCAAAGACCTTTTCCTTTAATCAGCAATAATGAAATTTATTCACACCACCTAAGCTAGACAAGTAAAGCAAAAGAGAACGTAAAACACAGAGGGAACAAAAAAGGCAAGAAAAGCAAGTTCAAATCAAATTTCAAGCGCTGTATCAGAGATGTTTAACAAAAAAGTGAAAAAGTTATGACCAGTGTAGTCAAACAACAGGTAATCAAATAAAGTACTATCTGTTTTCTCCTTAGTACTACCCTGATCATCATTTAACCAAGTTGAAAACCCAAGTTCTCTGTTGGAATCCATGCGATGGGAAAGTTAAGACATCTGCTGTTCACTCAAGTATCTCTGATTTTAGATGAACACAGAATTTAAGAGTCTACAAATATAAAAGAAAGAAAACCACAAACCCAAACCAACCCAAAACTACGCAGGAAGATGCTATGACAACCTCACTGACTAAAAATGAGGAGACATTGATGTGACTACATGTTGCCTCCAAGCTGCAAGAGCTTTTTGAGGCTAGAATGTGAAAAGAGACCTTTAAAGCTTCCAGACCTTTGGGAGGAGTGCCCCTGTCGGGTCATACCTATTTCCACATAGCGGTTGGGAAGGTCGCGCATCTCACTGGCATGGCGCTCCTTCACTGAGCAGATCTAGGAAACAGAGATTCAGATCATTGTGATGAATAAACTGCAATTCCTAAAATGATGCTAACTTTCCCCCAGAAACGCCTTTTCATATAGAGGCATTCTCAGACATGCATTTCTGAAAAGCACAGGCTGTGGAACAGTGGTGAGGAAGAAAAGCAGACAGGGAAGTTGCAGCTGGAGCGCACAGCCTCACAGATACACTGGGAAAGGAGAAGGAAGCTGGACCACAAAAGAGAAAGCTGAAAACACGAGCTCACTATGATTTCTTCATAGTAGCATATACGATGGGTTTGGTATCTTCTCACACCTTGTTCCTAAAACGATGCTAACTTTCCCCCAGAAAAGCCTTTTCATACAGAGGCATTCTCAGACATGCATTTCTGTATTTCTGAAATGCACAGGCTGTGGAACAGTGGTGAGGAAGAAAAGCAGACAGGGAAGTTGCAGCTGGAGTGCACAGCCTCACAGATACACTGGGAAAGGAGAAGGAAGCTGGACCACAAAAGAGAAAGCTGAAAACACGAGCTCACTATGATTTCTTCATAGTAGCATATACGATGGGTTTGGTATCTTCTCACACCTTGTGTCCCATTACCTTACAATTTCAGTAAGAATGTGCTATTGCAACTCCTAGTGACAGGAGGAGAGTATGTACTTGTAAGGAAATGCAAAACCCCAAACGTTGTGAAGCACACACAATACAAGGGGGAAGACAGAGGCTAAACTTAGTTTTACAAATGAAGTTTTTCCTAAGTTTAATGCTCCAAAACCTCTTACACTTCACCCACCTCTCTTCCCCCTCCCTTTCCATCTAGTACTGCCAAGCAGTTTTAATTTCCCCCTGTGCAGTGATGTAGCAGTGTGTTATCAGAAAACAGCAACAGGCTTGTAACAAACTCATGTCAGGTGCTGGTCTGAGGAAACCACAGTCAGATTACAGCACACACATCCAAAATGCCAGTTGCCTGCTGAAAGCACAACAAACCACCAAGCAGCCTGTCCCTCCACCCTTTTTTTCCCCTCCTAGTTGACCAAAATAATGTGGTCATTTCAGCAGTCACAACCTTTTCAGCCTCCAAAACAATCCCCTCCAAAAATACCTCATGGTAAGTTGCTCTTTGTTAATGCTAATCAAAAGAAATTCATTCAACAGCCCACTAAAATCTTTCAAAAGAGGAAAACTCTGCAATGCCCAGAGCAGAGTCCCTGAGGATGACACGTGCTGGTCGGTCTGACCACTGGGTGTCTGCCACTCCTCCACCTCCTCATGAGGGTCAGTCCAATGACATTTCTATGGCAGCAGGAGTTCTGCACACTGTAGTCAAACCAAATTCTATTTTTTTCGATTGTCTTTGCTTTTCAGAAATAATCCTCTGTTTGTCTGTGATAACAGCAAGCATTTATTACAAAGACAGGTAATTGCACCTTTACTGAATTTCCCCAGCCAATAATCAGCGTTAAATTATCCTTCCAGCACAGGCTGCAGGGATACATATCTGGGCGAAGGCTTATGTCATCTCGAGGCACATTGGTAATTCTTTGCTTGGAGACCATGTCGAGTATCTTCACGCCCTGAAAGTTTAAATACAAGAGAACTTTATTCAATAACCCACCACATCCTGCATTATTTTGTACACTAAGGCAGTCAGAGCAGTTTCTGGCATAAATTTCAGAGTAGGGCTGAGCACGCCAACAGAAAAAGGTATTGATACAAAGAGCCATCTAACACAGCAGATGACAGAAGGAACAGAGAGCTTAAAGTAGAGATAGATATTTTAAATTCACATGCCAAATGAAAAGATGGAAGCAAATGAATGGCAGGTTAGCAACTCCAGTCATGAACCAGTTCAGCTTGTTGCACTGGTGCTACTACTGGAGAAATAAATAAAAAAAACCCAGCTCTTCCACAACAGCCTCTGTAGAGAAACAGAAATTTCCAACCTGCCAAAAGAAAAGATGTGAAGTGATAGCTCATTAAATCAAACTGTATTTCTCCAGGAGTGCATTTCTGCTCATATTAAAATAGAGAAGCATATTTAAATAATGCTTTGTTTTGTATGCTGTGATTTTTCACTCCCTTTTCAGGGAATCTCCAAACTAACAAAATAAAAAGTTTAAAGAAAGGAAGATTAAAATCATTTGAGAGAGAGAGAAAAGAAAAGAGAACCATTAATCAGATTTTTTCCATGCCATTTGTACAAGGTGAGCTATAACCTTTCCAACAGCAAAATGGAGATTAATTTCATGTTAAGTAATGACTTGTTCTTAGTCATTTAAAAACAAAAGTCCCCCACATAAACCAGAGTATTTTAGCAGATATTTCTTTTCTGCTCACTGAGCTTACAGGATAACTCCCACAATCACAGAAAAGGGATGGAAGGGACCTTGAAAGGTCAGCGTCCAGGATGCCATTCCATGTTAAGATTCTTCTAGTGACAAAACTGATTTAAAAGGTTCCCCTGCCTGCTTCTGTTCCCCCCTGCTGTGTGTTTCTAGGTCCCCAGCTGTACAGATTCAACTGTTTGTAAGTCAAAGAGTCTAAACATGGGGTCCATGGTCTAAGACAGGTTTTGCTTTTGTTATTTTTTTTAACAAAACAAAACAACAAAAAAATCACAAGGAGCAGTAAGTGGTACAGTGGTGGCCCTTTTTTTTTTTTTTTTTTCAGTGATCTTTGTTACTGAAGAACTGAGTGTGGAACACACTTCTATTGCCATTTCTGGTTAAGAGCCACCGAGATTACAAAAAAAACAAGCCTTGCACACAGCATCTGCAATGTTCAGACTCCAGATCCCTGGGTACCAGAAACAAAAAGCTTATGACTTGTGTTTTCTAAGCTCATCTGATAAAATTTGCAGTCTTGCTTGAACTGCATTGTAATAAAGTTGTCTTCTATTAGTCTTACCACTTTGCCTTTAAGGATGGTTTTCAGCTAAAAGTGACCATTGTCACACCTTCTGTTTTTCCACAAGGCAGAAAATCCTACATTTAAAGTGCCTTTCAAACCAGTAGCATATGAGTTTTAACTATGTCATTTGCATCACAACCCGAAAGGACTTCCAGAGTCAACCTCCTATCAGGAAGGAGCCCAAAACCTGTTCAAATGGGAGTCAGGCAGCCAAATACCTCTAAAAATTTCATCCTCAGGTGTCTCAGTTTGTAAAACTTGCACTCTTGGCCATGGAGGAAGAGGGCACGGCACCAAACATGGGTTACCTGAGCTTCACAGGCATAATTAGACCCTGTTTAAACAGCCTCAGAATGTGCAATGTCTAACTGGCTGACATACAATGTGGAAAAAAAAAAGTATAAGAAAAAAACCCTGGGTAGCCATGTACAGACAATAAGAAGCAAGGCTATAAAAGATTTTCTCTGACTTTGAAAGAAAAAAAATGGAACACAAAACCTTGCTAGAGAATGAAGAAATTTTTAAAAAGGCAAAGGGGGAAGGGAAAGGCCAATAACCAAATATATTAGTCTTTTGGAGGGCAAGTGTCATTTCATTTTTCATTGAAAGATAGGCCCTGACCATGGCTTTTTGTCTCTGACAGATGGCTCTCAACATTTTATTAGTATTCTCTGCTCTGATGTGGCACATCATCTCTAGGGATAGCTCTCCTCAACTGTCCTATCCATTCCCAGCAGACTCACCTAGAATATATATTTTAATTGTATGGCTTTGAAAAGAACAAAACCTTCAAAAAAGCTCATGCTATGTTGATCAAGCACTCATTAAAGTTTCAATCCTAATGTGATTACTAAAGGGGAGTAAATAAACAAAAGTCCATTTCTAACAACTTCATATCAAACTGGTTTTGAAAGGAATAAAAGAAAAATGGCTTAAAATATTTTAATAAATGCTTCCCCTCAGGAGTGGAAAAACAATAGAAGAAGAAAGCTAGTGTTTCAGCAGCACTTTCATCAGGTTTTAAAATAAGACTTTGGAATTTAGACATGATACTTAAAAACATACCCCTCACTGCTGAGCTTTAAAACACAGACCTTGACCCATCAATTAGACATACAGTGATAGGTGAAATGCACCACTCAGCATGAAAGCAACGGTTCCCTTTAAAATATGAATTACACTTACAGCAAAAAGGGCCTATTTTCTCCTAAGTCTTGCCTTTTCTAGTGACCTACCAAGATGAGAAAATATTACTATCATTTTTTATAATCTGCAACATTAGAAGTGCATATTACAAAATCTGGATTAGTTTGTTTTTTTTGGGGGGTTGGTGGTGATGCTCTATTATTTATATAAAGAAGAGTTACACTGACATTCCTTTCTCAGACAGACAGTTTGCTTCAACAAATTGCATTAGTCAAAACTCTTCCACACAACAGGGTACAGCAGAGATCATCCCCAATACATGTAGAGCTACTCTTCTTAATTTCTTCTGAAGTGGCAACCATATGGAGAACACTGACTAGCCAGCAGAAAACACCAGAAGAAACATCTACAAAGAAATGAGACCTAAACCACCATCTTCCAATGTCTTCTATACTCAATTCTTCAAAGGTACCATTTTTCAATGGAATATTTTGGCAATTACCACAGAAACATTTCAAATGTCAGTGTATCAGTATTTTTGTTCATTTAACAGAGGAGACAAATACTTACCATATTATTGGCCCAAGCAATTAAGTGTCCTCTCCATTTCACATTTCTTATATTTCCTTCCCCTTCGTGTAAAACTGAAGGCTTCCATCTGTTCATCCAGCCTCTCTCATACAACAGCAGCTACGAAGAAGTGCAGCAAGAAATATTCCTGTGACACAGTGCTGTATGTAAACATAGGGGTGATTTTTTTGCTTCATTATCCCTCACTCTGCTTGGATTCAAGGGCAATGCAAAATACACACCTATCACAAACCAAGATACAATGAAGCATTTTCATATAGTACATAAACATTAAGAATCTGATACTACAGAATTCAAGCTACTTTAATAGTAACATCAACAAGCAGGCCTTCCATTAGTTTTCCAAAGAACAGTAGGTGTAATTATTTCCATTCTAAGGATAAAGAACTTCAGGCATTTGAGAATTTAAGCCTCCAGGACTAGTGACAACACTTGCAAGAGCTGGTGAAGAAACCAAGCTGCCCCACACCTATCCATTGATCTTGTCACAGGCTCCTTCTTCCCTCTAAAAAACACATAGTCAAAGAAAATTATCAAAGACCCTCAACCCTGAGACATTTTTCTTGGCCCCACGTGGCTCTAAAGGTGCTGTGTGTTAGTCCCACATGTGCAAACTGCACTGCACCACAAGTGCTGCTGACTGTTAAACTTCTGTGATTTGGAATCTTGGGCTCTGCAAGTAATGAAGGTAAAGTATCTAAATGCATAGGAGATGTTATGAAATGCTTTGCAGCAGCAAAGCAAAACCCAACATCATGAAGGCAGATTGCACAAATCCAGCTTTTACTGGTTCTTGTATGGTTTCAGGAAGTTATTTAATAGGATTATAACATGGAATCACTTTGAGTGATACGAAGTGCAGTGCCTGGAGGGATACCTTAGTAAGAAGCAGAAGCAACTCTGAAGATCATACTCTAAGGGACCTATCTTGCCAACTTTTGCATCATACATCCACGTACAGACACACCCAACCTGAACCCAAGCTCACACGAGTGCACAAGGACCATTAAAGGCTGTAAAATTGCTACCTGCCAGGACTTTGACCTTGCTGAGCCTAAAGTCGAGACCTTTGTTGCTAGTATTTCCTCTCCCAGATCCAGCTGTACATGCGTTTTTACAGGTGGTTTCCCACCGCCTGTATTTGCCTAAATGTATCAAATGCTAATACACTAGGTTAAAATAACATCTTTACCGGCAGTGGCACAGGCTGCCTCTCTCTGCTAAAGCCACAAGATGGCACCAGAAGACAAGCAGTGCGTTCAAAAGTTTAAAGCAGTCACTACCTAGGACAGAATATCAAGAAACTTTGTCATGAAGCGTACTGGAGACACCAAACTTCTCTTGCTACTTCAACACCAGCCAGAATGACCCTGTGTCCTTCACTCAGCTGGCATGAAGGTCCACCTTTTAGGCACTCTAGAGACTGGGTTTTTTTCCACCTACTAGAAGGCCACTCCATAGAACTCCTACAGAGTCTATCTTACAGCAACCAAGGCAAGACACTGCAATTGGGGTAACATCTAAGGTCATAAGGCAGTGCCATACAGAGGGATTTCCACCAGCAGGCTGAGAGGTGGATGTGAAAGACAGCAGCAGCCCCCAGCCCAAACTGATGAGCTCCACTGAGAACCTGAGGATGTCACTAGAAACTAAGTGCTGTGCTGATCCAGACTTGAAAATTACTTTTTCCTACTTCACAGACTCCTAAAGCAGAGGCTTGATGGAAGAAGAACTTGCCACTTGGATGCTTCTTTCAGTATCCTCCAATAAAGACAACTTCAAAATACACAGTATTTTTATCTAGACTTACTGGACAAGGCTGTGAAAACAGATGTTGATGATGTGAAGGTTAAAACTGGCTGATGCCAATTACATTAACTGAACTTTGAATCTTTTCTACTTGTGATTGAATTGTGATTTATTTTACACACAAGAGCCAGACTGAGGTTAGAATAACACTTTGCAATTATTTTGCTACTGTTCATCATATGTGAACATCATGCTTTTTCATGACTCTGCACCCGAGTAAGAAACTGCAAAGAAAATATGTGACCTGAGAAAGAACTGTTGAGATTAAAAAAAAAAAAAAATCCCTGCTTTAGTCTATGCTCAACTCTAAGCACATGCTTAATTAAATTTTCAGGCCAAGGCAGTAGAAGACAACAGTCTGATATTGCCTATAATAAAGATGGAAAGTGAACCTGAATCACTGCAGCACCCAGCATTCCCTATTTCATATCAGCAAGTACAATAGGTCCAGCACTGAAGCCAAAGGACACTCAAGATCGTGGCCTTAAAAAAAAAAAATTCTCTCAAAATATGCCTAATTTATCTGCATTTTATTGATATACCTAGTTTGATTTATCATTTCTTACAGCAATGACACCTGGATACTGAGTTACTGAACCCAGAACTTGCTATGTGTTTTGGAACTGCTATCCATTGAATGCAGCTCTCTCAAAATAAGCAGCCTAATTTATTTCTTAGTCTTCCTTTCTATCTTCACATTGAAATGTTTATTGCACCAGAAAGCCATTTAAAACTTCAAGAGAAGCTAGGCACATAACAAAAATCCACAATTTCTGGAGGGGTTCCTCCTACTACCTCCTTCTCTTTTTGGTAGGGGAAAAATATTTTAGGGCTTTCTTTCCCATAAATCCCATATTTTGGCAGTCAGCATTCACAGTACTTATATTTCAACAGCAGCCACAAAAACCTCTTTCTTGCATTCTCTGCAATACAGTTTATTATTTTCCCCTTTCTGATTTGCCCTGGTAAATCCTTCTAGTCCTCTGTTCCAACACAGTACAGAGTGCACCACCAGCATCCTCTGCACGTACTGCACCATGGTAATACAGCTAAAATAAAATAAACTTTGACTTCGAGGGTCCCCACCCACACTCCTTCATAGCACACTGCAATCTTTTGATAGTTCACCACCCATTATTTTGTGAGTCTTCTCAACTGCTTACGCTTGTCTACCGGATCATTAGGAAAAGTGACACGCTGAAATGCATGAGACAAGTGGCTGGTGAAGGACACTTTCTGGTTTAGAAAACAAGTAGATATAATTCTCTTGGATTAGTGAATATATCTCCCTCTATCTTTTGCTAACAGGAGATTAACCTCCTCCATGAACAGCTCCAAACTCTATTTTAGAGTGCACCCGCTAAAGAGAATAGACCAGTGCTTCGATTTAATGGAGCCTCTCATGCAATTAGCATTAACACTAATTACATGTAATCCCAGTCTTTAAACCACGTACTGGAATTCTCAATCCTCTGAACAAAGAGGCCAATGATTGCAGCTTTGCTGGTATCAACACAGGGAAGTAATTCAATTCAGTCTCATCCCGCTTCGAAACACTGAAATAAAAGATGTCTCTTCTCACCCAGTGAAAAGTTCCAAAGCAAACACTTTTCCTGAAGCACTACTCACACCATCATTACTTTGTTTCAATGACCTAGAGGAGCTTTACAGAAGAAAAAGGCTGAGACTTCAATTTGTAACTGAAGAGCCACCCTTCCCTTCCCTAGTGCGGCGCTCTTGGATTAGGTTTAATTTCACAAAATAAAAATTAGGAAAAAAACCTCCCTGAATTTTCCTCATCCTGCTCTTTGTTTGCCCGAGTGTGAAGATGTGCCTACCTGTGGCACCTCTTGTGGTTTTTAGCACTTGTGTCACCAGCTCTCCCTTCAGCCAGGCAAGATCCCGAAAACCTTGAAGGCTACTGCCATGGTTACAAGTGATCACTATAGGTATTTATTGTTTTCAGCATAAACCAAACATTTACAGGCATAGCCAAGCCTAACAGATGTCCAAGAGTAAAGCAGAGCAGCACGCCACATGAAGACTTGCTGCTTAATCGTGCATCCCTAGGAAAATATATAGCAACCATAAAAAATTATCACTTCTGTTTGGAACAGCGATGGGCTGGATGAGCTCAAACGAGGCAGAGAATAATGTCAGCCTCAAGTCTTCAACTGAAGATGAGTTTTCAAAACACTGTCCTCAAATGCTGTTGTCTAAGGAGCTGGGGTGTGGATGGAGGGGCAGGCAGAAGGTGCAGTCAAGGGAAATCAAGCCAGGAGGCAGTGGCAGACAACAGAAGGTAAGTGATGGCATCAGTGAGATGAAACAGGAGCTGCTGCTGTAGCTCATGCACAGAGAACCTACAACTGTTGAGATGTTTAACAAACAAATACCACAGGACTTTTATTAGGCTGCACTTTAATAACTCAACTGCTAGATTCCAGCTGTCACCTATCCACAAAGAGCTACAGAATTAACACCTTGGAAAGCAAGTCCTGCAGCCTTGCAGGAATAGACAAAAGCTCTCACACGTTTCATATATTTAGACCCTCTTTGCTTGCCACCTCGGGCAAGGAAAAAAGTTTTCTACCCAAACATTTGTGAAACACCCAGCTATAGATTCCACACACAGAGGACTATGAGCCATTCTCTCTTTACACAAACTGTTTGTTACAACACGAGGAGAATGTTTTGTTTTTCACAATAACGAAGAATTGCACATCCAAATAATCAGAAGAAATGCAAGCCAAATAATCTGCTCATTAAGCAAACAGGACATCACTCTGTACCAAAGCCTCAGCTGCACAGACCTGTGTTGCTGTGGCTTGCTTGCTGCTACAGCTCGTTTCCTGCTTATGGTAAATTATCCAATGCATGGACAGAAATTGCCAGAGTATTTACTCTTTCTTCACTTAAACCAGACCTTTGAGTATTTACTGACTGACATTTTATAGCTTACAAAGCAATCTGCCTTTCTTGTCTGCTACTCTTCTACCCAACATAATGCCAAACAGCTGACTATCTGCTTTCTAAAAATGGACTGTGCTGCAAACAGCATCCTGACAATTTAATAATTTGTCAAAGTAGTCCAACCAGTTATTATGAAGTACATATCATAGAGTTCAGAGGTAAAGGTCATCTACTTACTCACAAAGCAAAGTGCATCTGCTGACACTAAAAAGCAGACAATTAAAAAAAAAAAATAATTAAAAAACCTGAGACTCTCCCTGGTAGACCTGACTTTAACACACAAAACCTCACTAGCCACAATAGCAGTTGCAGATGCCCA